TCTTTATTTCAGCATTCTGATTTAGCACTTGAGCTATGGAGTTAGTGTCTTTATACCCTGGTGTTTCTTCTTTTCAGTATCTGGTTTTGGCAACTTATTTGTGACCAATAAAATGAAGTTAATAATAGTACCTACTTTGTAGATTTGTGCTTAGTAAATATTAAGTGCCATCATTATTAATATGGTTATTTCTGTTATTCATGAGCCCTGGTAGCTCATGAATAAGCTCTCAGCTGATAACTGAGATTGGTGGTCGGAACGCACTAGCCACTCTATGGAAGAGAGATGAGACAGTCTGCTTCCATACATATTTATAGCCTTGGAAACTCTTATGGGACAGTTCTACTCTGTCCTGTATGGTTGCTGGAAGTTAGAATTAACTTGACCATAATGTTTTTGTCTTTTTTAAAATTGTTATTCTAATGGTAAAAATACATAACTGTTCTATGTGATCCCTTTACAGAATAATTTATCTATCATTTATATTTATTGTAAAGGAGCTCTAGTAGTATAGTGATTAAGGCATTTTGCTACTAACCAGAAGGTCAGTGGTTCAACCCCACTGGCTGCTCTGCAGAAGAAAGATGAATCAGTCTGCTTCCACAAAGATTTACAGCCCTGGAAACCTAATGGGGTTACTATGAGTCAGAATCAACTCAACGGCTGTGAGTTTGGTTTGATTTTTTTTTTGTATATTTATTGTAAGACTAGATATCATCATAGATAGTAGGTGCTGTTTCATAATTATCATAGTTTTCTGTTTACAGATATATATTCACTTTTTCTATGGCATATGTTTTCCCCCACTAATCAGTATTCCAAGGAACTCTGGTGGCACACTGGTTAAGCACTTGACTATTAACTGAAAAATCAGCTGTTTGAACCTACCAGCTGCTCTGCAGAAGAAAGATGTGGCAGTCTACTTCCATAAAGATTTACATCATGGAAAACCCAATGGGGCAATTCTGCTCTGTCCCATAGGCTTGCTATGAATTGGAATTGCATTGCTCAATGACAATGGATTTTTGATAATCAATATTCCATGATCATTTTTCCAAGTACTCATTTTTAGTTCTACCCTGTATCTATAAAGAAGTGCATAATGCTTTATAATGCAGTTATATTGTTGTTGTTGTTGTTATGTGCCATGGAGTCAGACCTGACTCATAGTGACCCCTCCTTGGGTTTCCAAGGCAATATCACTAGGGAAGTAGATTGCCTAACCTTCCTTCCGAGGAGTGGCTGGTGGGTTTGAACTGCCAGCATTCTGGTCAGCAGTCAAGTGCCTTAGGCACTACACTACAAAAAACAAAAAAAAATTCTCTATTGATATGCATTTAGTGGTTATGTATTTTTTTGTTTTTGTTATCAGAGGACTGTTGTACCATCTGTGTCTCTGTCTTCATATTTTTGCATATTTATAGAAATAATTATTTAGGCTCTATGCCTAAATTGTTTTGCTGGATTGTAAGCTAGATATAAGGAGCACTGGTGGTGTAGTGTCTAAGGCATTTGACTGCTAACCAGAAGGTTGGCGGGTCAAACCCACCAGCCATTCTGTGGAAGGAAGACTGGGCAATCTACTTCCATAAAGATTTACAACCTCTCAAACCCACAGGAGGTCACTACGAGTCAGAATCAACTCAATGGCAGTGAGGGTTTTTTTTTTTTTTTGGGGGGGGGGGGATGCTATATATATTTATAAAACAAATTGATGACTAAACAAAATTTCTTCCAAAAGTACTGGATAACTCACCGTTGAAGTAATTGCCCATGTCTTCACACAATCGTTAATACTTGGTGCTGTCAATGCTTTATTATTTTGTCAGTTTGTTAAGTTATGAGATGTTTTTATTAATTTGTATTTTAAGTATTAGGGAGGCAAGCAGGTTTTAAATATATTGGATGTTTTTAAATATATTTTCAAAATATATTTTTAAATATATTTACATTTTCTTTGGATTATCTATTCATTATCCAGTTTTATCTTTTACTTATTTATTTAGAAGCTCTTTATTTGGTTATGTTTTATATTTTTCACATGGCAAATATTTTCTCACAGACAATTTTTCTTTTAAATTTGTTTAGATGTCTTTTTTCATATAGAAGTTTACATTTTTATTTAGTCAACTCTGTCAGAATTTTCCTTGGTGTTTTATGAATTCATGTTATTTTTCAAACATCTTTCTATTTCTGTGATTACAAAATAGTCCCCTATATTTTCTTTTTATGATTTTATAAATTGAAATTATTAATCTCGTTGGAGTTTATTTTCATATCTGCTGTGAGAGAGTGATTACCTTTCATTTTCTATGAAGTAGTCAGCCAAACTTCCTAATAGCCCCTTACTTGAAAATTCTAGAACTATTGTTAGTGGTATCATTATCATTAAAGAACTCTGGTGGCATAGTGGTTAAAACATTGGTCTGCTAACCAAAAGATTGGTGGTTTGAAATCACCAGCTGCTCCTCAGGAGAAAAATGAGGCAGTCTGCTTCTGTAAAGACTGACAACCTTGGAAATCCTATTGAGCAGTTCCATCTGTCCTAAAAAGTCACTATGAGTCAGAATCTACTTGATGGCAATGGATTTGGGTTTTTGGTTTCTTTATCATTATCATTATTATTATTGTTGTCATCATAATTGCCAGCACAATATTAAACACTTTACATAGATCATCTCTTTAATTCTTATAATTATCTTCTAAGGTGGTGGTATTATTGTTGTTGTTATGTGCCATCAAGTCGGACCCGACTCATAGCGACCCCTCCTTGGGTTTCCGAGGTAGGATCACCTTCCTTTGGAGGAGTGGCTGGTGGGTTTGAACTACGAGCCTTCTGGTTAGCAGTCAAGTACCTTAGGCACCTAGCACAGATAATTTAATGACTTGCCAAACATCATGTTTCTAGAAAATGGTAGAGTAGGAATTCAGAATTTGGATCTATGAATTCTCAAATCTGCACTACCAATCACAAACTGGATTACATAATTTAAATTTAATGTGGGTAATACGTGGGTTCCCTGTGTCTCAACTATGACAATATTCCAGTATTAACAGAATGAAAATTAGAACTGAGATTTCTATCCTTATCAACCACATGAAAATGGGCAATTAGTGAATTTAAACTAGTAATTTAAATTCATTTTATGTCTCTAGTGGGAGCTCTGGTAGCATAGTGCCTAAGGCACTTGACTGCTAACCAGAAGGCTGGTGGTTCAAACCCACCAGCCACTCCTCGGAAGGAAGGTTGTGATACTGCCTCGGAAACCCAAGGAAGGGTCGCTATGAGTCAGATCTGACTTGATGGCAGTGAGTTTTTAGTATGTTTCTAATGTTAGTTGAATAAATACAAATACAGTGTTCAAGTATTATTTTTCCTGTTGTTGTTAGGTGCTGTTGAGTCAGTTCAACTCATAGTAACCTTATGTATAATAGAATGAAACATTGCCCAGTCCTGTGCCATCCTCATAATCACTGCTATGCCTGAATCCATTGTTGCAACCACTGTTTCAGTCCATCTCATTAAGTATCTTCCTCTTTTTCACTGACCCTCTACTTTACCAACCATGATATCATTCCCTCCTGATAACTTGACCAAAGTACAAAATGTGAAGTTTTGCTATTCTCGTTGCTAAGTGGCATTCTGGCTGTATTTCAGCTGGGGGAGAATTGCTTATTCTTCTGGCAGTCCATGATCTATCCAATATTCTTCACCAACACCATAATGCAAATGCATCAATTCTTATTCTTCTTTATTCATTGTCCAACTTTCACATGCATATGAGGCCATTGAAAATACCATGGCTTAGGTCAGGTGTACCTTAGTCTTCAAAATGACATCTTTGCTCTTTAACACTTTAAAGAGGTCTTTTGCAGCAGGTGTTTCCAATGTGTCATTCCCATGAGCTGCTGCTTCCATAGGCTTCGGTTGAGAATCCAAGTAAGATGAAATCCATGACAGCTTTATTCTTTTCTCCATTTATTATGATGTTGCTTATTGATCCAGTTGTGAGGATTTTTGTTTTCTTTATGTTGAGGTGTAATCCATGCTAAAGGTTATAGTCTTTGATCTTCTTCAGTAAGTGCTTCATGTCCTCTTCACTTTCAGCAAGCAAAGTTGTGTCATCTAATCTTCACAGACCATGAATTGGAGTCTTCCTCCAATTCCGGTACCTCCTTCTTCTTCATATAGTCCACCCTCTTGGATTGTTTGCTCAGCATACAAGTGAAATGATACCACCCTGATGAACATCTTTCCTGATTTTATACAATGCAGTATCCCTTTCTTCTGTTTGAATGACTGCCTCTTGATTATTCCTCATGAACATTATTAAGTGTTCTGAAATTCCCACTCTTCACAATGTTATCCATAATTTGTTATGAACCACATAGTCAAATGCCTTTGCATAGTCAATAAAACACAAGTAAACATTCTTCTTGTATTCTCTGCCTCCAACCAAGACCCTTCTGACAACAGTGATAACTCTTGTTCCACATCCTTTTTGAATCTTGTTTGACTTTCTATGTACTGCTGTAACTGTTTTTGAATTTTTTTCAGCAAAATTTTACTTGCATGTGATATTAATGATATTGTTCGATAATTTCCTCATTCTGTTAGATCAGTTTTCTTTGGAATGAGCACAAATATGAAGTTCTTTCAGTCAGATTGCTAGGCCTGTCTTCTGATGTGTTGCTGGGTGGTTTGAACCACCATACTTTGGCCAGTTCAGTGCTTAACAATTTGTGCCACCTAGTGTTTGTCTTTTTAATCTTTTCAAATATGCTGTACCTCTTCCCAATCTCTAGCATTAAAAACGTGCCATAAGTACTTCAGCGTGAATACTGTTACCTAGAAACTTGGCAAATTTTGAGACATAAATGTACTTTGAATTTAGTTTAACTGTACTGAAATGCTAAAGATTCTACTCAGTTAATTTTTCAGCAAAAAAGTCTAATGTAATTCTTTTTCTAACCTGCCTTTTCTTTGTTTGGTGTCTCAGTCTTCAGGAACCAGTATTATTGTGGATATTGCTGTGATGGGTGAGGCCCATGGCCTCATTACTGACCTTCTGGCAGATCCTTCTCTGCCACCGAATGTCTGCACATCTTTGAGGGCAGTGAGCAACCTACTTAGCACACAGCTCACCTTCCAAGCCCTTCACAAGCCCCGAGTTAATCCCATCATTTCCTTCAGTGAGAACTATACCTGTTCTGATTCTGAAGAAAGCTCTGAAAAAGACAAGCTGGCTATTCCCAAGGTAAGTATTAATGACATATTCCTTAAAGGGTTAAACTTTTTCTTTTAATTGTCTTCCAGCTCTTCTTCTCATCACCTCAAACCTATTTATATATTCATATCAATTACTCAGTGAAGATGTGTTGATCACAGTGACAAAAGGAATAAAAATTGAATCAACTACTTTGCCCTTATACTTGATCACTTTCTATAAAAAGAGGTCCCTATTATCTGAGAAGCTCTGGTGGCGTACTGCCTAAGGCATTTGACTGCTAACCACGAGGCTGGCAGTTCAAACCCACCAGCCACTCCTTGGGATGAAAACTGGGTAATCTACTTCCATAGAGATACCACATCAGAAACCCAAGGAATGGGCCATTATGAGTTGGAGCTGACTCAATGGCAGTGAGTTTGTTTTTTCTTTTCTTTTTCGTTTTATTATCTGTTTTATCCAAACTGTTCAAGAAATTTTTACTGAGGTCCTTATAAGTGTCAGGCCTTGTTCTCAGTTCTAAAGATATAGTAGTGAAAAGTATGCTACAAACACACACACACAAAATAAAAATAAACACCACCCTGTTCCCATTTTAGGGTGGTTTCTGTTTCCACTGACTTCTATAACTCAAGGTTCCTTTGCTCATTGATTTCTTAGTATGATATACTTCATCACACACTCATGTATTTTCCTAACTAGTTTTTTAATTATTACAGATTTTGTTGATTTTTGCTGTTGAAAGTGAAAGATGGCCTTAATGATTTGTAAAATTTCTTCTTTTTACACATAAGATATAAAAGTTTTACAAAACTAAATTGTGGGCTCAAATTGTCTAGTGGTAGATCTGGGCACAGACATCTGTACCCAGTTCAGACTTCATTTAATTAGCTAAAAACAAATTATGTTAATTTTTTTTTAATTAGAATTCAACTAGTCTCTGATGCATCCAGTATTCTTATTTATTTAGTAGACAAGCCATTGTCTTCTTAACCTGGTAGTCAGTCAGTAACATCATGGCTCCTGCTATTGGTGAGCCTCTTGACCCAGGAATGTGATCCTAACAGCACTCTTGGTTAGTTATTTACATTGCTCCTTTCCAGCAACAACTTCTCTGAAAAAGTTATACCTAATCATGATATGACAGTAAGAAATGGAGAGAGTGACTAAGTAATTACTCTGAGTCTCAAAATAGATGGGATTTTGGTAACTAATTCAAGGCAGGAATGCTGGTATTTTCCAGTGCTTGACCACTTCTCTTCCAGCTGAGTTACTGTCTAAGATGCATATTCTGATACTTAAAAGATACAGGAGCTTATTTAAAATCAGGCCTATTTTTGAATCACAAGATAGCATATAACTTTACTTCTCAAAATTTTTGCCATCTTCTGAAGAGGAAAATGTGTCTTTGAAAATTAACGGTGTAGGTCATCTACTGGGAATAACTAGCCACAAATAAAAGTAGGTTGAGGATCTGGTAGAGTAGTGCCTAGGGCATTTGACTGCTAACCAGAAGGCTGGTGATTCAAACCCACCAGCCACTCCTCGGAAGGAAGGTTGGGCAATCTACTTCCATAGTGATACCTCCTCAGAAAAGTGAGGAGGAGTTGCTGTGAGTTGGATCTGACTCAACGGCAGTGAGTTGAGGGTCTAACCATTATGACTATTGCTGGTGTGGTTTTAGGATAATACCCTCACTTTAATTTTTAAGATTAAGACCCACTTTAGAGTAGTACTATTGCTCAACCTTTGGAGTCCAGAATCTTATTTCATTGCTGATGATACCACAGATCCTACTGAACATATGGTAGAAGAAGTAATATAAAAAGAAGGGAGAGCAGATAAGCCTTCCAGGTCTTGTTGTAAGTAGAACTGATACTGATTATATTACCCATATCCCTGGCATCAAAGTCACATTCACTACAAGAAAGGTGGGGCATTTTGTAAGTGTCATATCCTACACTTAGCTCCTATTATTTGTAAATCAAGATAATTAAAATAAATAAATATTTAGGTGTATTGTCTATTATACAAATAATATAAATTTATCAAACCCCCAAACAAGTGACTTTAGAGGAAAAAACTTCTGTATATAATACTTAGCATAACATATGTGCTGTTGTTGTTTTGTGCCGTCGAGTCGGATCTGACTCATAGTGACCCTTTCTTGGGTTTCTGAGGTGGTATCGCTAGGGAAGTAGATTGCCAACCTTCCTTCCAAGAATATATGTGCATAGGTATGTAAATCCTGTTGAATTGATATGACTATAAAATTATACTGGAGGTAATTGACACTCCAATAATCCCGTATTTGTATAAGCATCGATACAGAGACTACACCATATTGATTGTTTGTTTGTTTTTAATAATCATTCATTTTTTTCCAAAGAGTCTTTTATTGACTTTCTGAGTACCCAAATCTTAGATTGGTAATACTCAACCACCATAGCTTAATAAATTCACTTATAATTAAAAATTTGGTTCCTTCCATTGTATCACCTATAAGTTAGTGATATAAAATATGACTGATAATAAAATCAACACTTCTTCCTCCTAGCGCCTGAGAAGGAGTTTGCCCCCAGGATTGCTGAGACGAGTTTCATCTACTTGGACAACCACAACCTCAGCCACAGGTCTACCCACCTTAGAACCTGCCCCAGTTCGGAGGGACCGTAGTGCCAGCATCAAACTGCATGAAGCACCTTTATCCAGGTTAGACAATGATCCCATTGATTTCATGTCTCTTAGAAAAGTTATTTAGCAAAAAGGACTTATAAGTCACAGGGAAAGAATATGACGAGTTAGTTAGAGGTCAAGTTTAGGAATGGAGAGGTGTATCATTTAAATGGAGAGCTCTGGTAACTTAGTGCCTAAGGCACTTGACTGCTAACCAGAAGGCTGGCGGTTCAAACCCACCAGCCTCTCCTCAGAAGGAAGATAAGGCAAACTACATCCATAGTGATACTGCCTCAGAAACCCAAGGAGGGGTCTCTATGAGTCAGGTCTGACTCAACGGCGCCTAACAACAACAACAATCATTTAAATGTACAGTGGTATAGGGATTAATATCATAATTAGACTTAAATTCTGTTGTATGGCCCTGAGTGTAAGTGGAGAGTGACTTGAGGTGATTCCTTCCAGTGTGACTTTGGATGAGGAACATCGAGTCAACAATAAAGACAGGCTAGATTTTTACCTAGATTACACAACTAAGACCTTTAAATCAAAGGCATCCAAACTGACACTTAAAATTGACTTAGATTCCCCCAGCTCACAAGAGCAACTGCCCTAGCATTATCCCAAAGGCAAAAATGCAGATCAAAAAGTAAAGTATCATCCTGAAATCATCTACCAAAAACCAAACCCACTGCCATCTAGTCAATTCTACTCCTAGTGACCCCCATGGGGTTTCTGAGGCAATAAGTCTTTTTTTTTTTTTTTTTAAATTAATTTTTATTGCAATTTGGGTGAACGTTTACAGAGCAAACTCGCTTTCCATATAGTAGCTCATATATACTTTTTCTCATGGCAGTGACTACAATTTCCCATAATCCAACAGTCCCCTCCCATTTCCTCCCTGTGTTAGGCTGGGTTCTCTAGAGAAGCAAAACTAGTAAAGCTTATATATACATATAGAGAAAGAGAATTTTATCTTAGGAAAATGGCTCACACACTTATAGAAGTTGGCAAGTACCAACTTCTTGGATCAAATGTCAAGCTGGAGGCTTTTCCCAACTCATGCAGCTGCAGGGGCTGATGAGCTCAAGGTCATCAGGCAGTATACCAGCTGTTGACTGCAACAAATGACGAATCCAAGATCTCCAGGCCAAATGGTGGATTGTTCATTCACAGACAGTTGTAGGCAGTACAACAAGATCCCGATCCACAGAAGAGAATTTCTTTTCTCAGGATGTCCATAAATATATTGGAAGCAAGCTGCACCTCTAGGAAAACTCCCTTTCAACAGCTTGGCTGCTCAAAACATGTACGTCCAATCCCATCATGGGAATAACCCACATCACAAGTGCTTAAACCACACAGAAATGTTGGCCAGCCAAGTTGACACACAGCTCCAACTATCACACTCCCTAAAGTTGCCTCTTCCCTATGTCCTTCCCTCCATGCACTCCTGCCCCATGAGCTGTCTCCCTGTGCATACACAGCCCATCTATTCCCCCATGATTGTTCTTTCCAAGGAGTGTATCTACCTAATGTTCAGCTCATGTGCCTGTCTTTTGTTTGGCTGGAAGCCATAGGAGTGGGTTCAATTCCAGACCTGAAGGGCAGCTAGAGGCCATAGTCTCAGTGGTTCCATAAGGCTCTATCAGATCAGCAAATCTAGTCCTTTTTTTTTTTAATGATTTTGAGTTTTGTTCCACATTGTTCTCCCACTCTATCCAGGATCTTCTACACAGATCCCCCTCCAAGTGGCTAACGGTCCGAGGCAATAAATCTTTACTGAAGTAGATAGCCCTGTCTTCCCTCCCGGAGTGGTTGGTAGATTTGAACCACTAACCTTATGATTAACATTCAAATGCCTTAGGAACTGTGCATTATGAGAATATTTCTGTATTCTAGTTTTGAAACATGTATCAGTTTCATTGATGATCTAATGGCTGAAAAATATTCACATTTTTGGGAGGAAACAAAGGTGCTCTGGTGATGTGGCAGTTAAAGCATTTGGCTGCTAACCAAAGGGTCAGTGGTTCAAATCCACCATCTACTCTGTGGAATAAAGATGAGACAGTCTGTTTCCATAAAGATTTACAGCTTTGGAAATCCTGCAGGCAGTTCTACTCTGTCCTGTAGGGTTCTAGGAATCAGAATTGACTTGATGGCAGTGGGTTGGTTTGTGTTGGGAGGTATATCACATGATGGCAAGATCAGAAGTGATTTTCTCCTGATCAGAAAAACAAAAACAAAACAAAAAATAAAAACTCACTGCTATCAAATCAGGTCAACTTATAGTAACCCCTCCTTGGGTTTATAAGGTGGTATCTCTATGGAGATAGATTGCCCCATCTTCCTTCCAAGGAGTGACAAGTGGGTTTGAGCCACCAGCCTTCTGGTTAGCAGTCAAATGCCGTAGGCACTATGCCACAAGAGCTCCCCTCTATAAATAAAGCACCATTCTGAGATTGGCAGAGAAATGGAAATCTTTCAAAGCATAAGGCTGCTAATTTGTTATGCTTCCTTAATTAAAAATATGTTTAAATTGGTTTCTTCCACATTGATGTTCATTGTCTAATTAACTTGTAGAGAGTCAGATACAAACAGAATGATTTTTGTAATTATACTCCATTTTATTACCTGCATGTTTGTAACACTTCTAAACACCAAGTGGAAGGATTTTACACAATCTGTTTCATAAACATGTTCTAAAGTTTAAGATTACATCATTGGTGATATTTTCCTGGAAAATATTTTCCATTGTCAATTTTCATAGCAGTAAATACTGGTATATAGTGGCTAATAGTGTTATTGTTAAATATGTGTTGCTTAAGAACATGAATTATATTCTTAATGTATAGTGTTTGTCAAGCTGCTTATTTTACTAACACAACTTACTACATTTCCGGTTATTGTATAGTTAATGCTCCATGGTTTTCTTTCTATAGTATGACTCTATCAACAGTCTGTTCCACTGTTGTCAACTGTCTTCTTCATTTGTTGCTTCTGGTGAAATCTCATGTTCTCTTGCTCCTCTTTTTATATTGGGGCCTAAAATTGACATCATGAAGAGGAACAGGGTTATAAGAACTTTTATGAACTTAACCTCCAAGGATCCTGTCATTCTGCTTATGATATACATTCAAAAGAGATGAGGGATAGTATGTGTTCTCACTCAATATATTGTCCTTATACATCGGTAGATATCATTCCTGTCTATACTTTTTTTCCTGCTATCTAACTTACTATCCCTTAATTTCACTGTTTTATAAAAAGTCCTGATATAAAATCTGAGAGTGGTACAACTTTTTCACCATTGCCAAGAAATGAAATTCTTTCTGAACAGAATTTGAACCTCATAAGGGAAAACCATACCTCTGGTAGCATAGTGCCTAAGGCACTTGACTACTAACCAGAAGGCTGGTGGTTCAAACCCACCAGCCACTCCTTGGAAGGAAGATGGGGCAATCTACTTTCGTAGTGATACTGACTCGGAAACCCAAGGAGGGGTCGCTATGAGTCGGGTCAGACTCAACGGCAAATAACAACAACAACAAAAGGGAAAACCATATATAAGTAAATGGTGATAGTTTATAGTGTAGTGTAGTGATAACAGTGAAAAGATAGCCACAGATAATGTTTAACCATTATTATTAACTAAAATAAAATGCTTTTCTCTAAGGAAACCTACTGCCAAAAGTGCTGATTGAGAAGAATATTAGCCCTTAGAGATTTATTTCTTCCCCTCCCCATCTATCCTTCTGTTGTGACTATTTGGGGGCTGGAGTGATCAAAAGGAGAATAAAAATCAGATGTAAAATTTAGGAAGAGCCTACAGCTTGTATTCCTTAAGTCATATAGCTAGATAATTGACTCCTTTGTAGTTATAAACACAATCTAATAGAAAAGACACTGGACTAAGAACCAGAAGGATCTTGGCCCAACCACTTACCAATGTGGGTCCCAAGAAACAAGTCCCTAGCATGCCTGAGCCTCCCCAGACATTTGTACCTGCCCATTGCATAAAGAATTGTTAGGAACAACGGGACATAAATGGCATAATTAGGAGGCAGAATAGATGGAAGAATACAAGTAGGTGCTTTAAAGAAAGCAGGCTTGAAAGAGATGGAAAATACTCGTGTATCATAGCCTAAATTATTCCAAGTCAGTCTTGGAACTGCTCAGTTGTCTGCTTAAGAAGCAGAAGGGAGACTATAAATTCTGTAAAAGAAACTGTCAGGGCTCAATAAGACATTTAAGACTTAGAATGAAGTTGTTATGAATAGAAATAAGATTATAAAATCCATTTTTTCAGGGAGGATGGTTGAGATCTATACAAAGACACATGGGCAATTTTCTTATGCTTTGTCAACACAAGGAGGCAATTAAAGTTTCTCAAAGTTGTTTTCCTTTCCAAAATCCAAATTGTTACATATTCCTGATATGTAAACAAGTGTGAGTCAATGCAGAGCTGAAGTGTGAGCCAATGCAAAGCTGAAAATTGTTGTGAGGATCACACGAAACAATATACTCATACTCACTGACTTTAAAGTGTTGCAAAGTATAATGTATTATGTAAGTATGAAATTAAGATTGAGATAGCTATGGCTAAGATTTTGTTTATCTTGGAATTCATTAAATCTCTATACATTGAAGATGCTCTATTAATGCAATCTATAAAATTTTTCTAAATGAGCACATTTTAAATGTTTTTATTTGAGAAACTAAATGGTAGTAGATGATTTTGGACACATAATATCTTTTTGACATTAAAAATAAACCCAGTTTATATTAATACCTTGTCTTTAAAAAAGTTTATATAGGAAAGTAATCACCTATTTATTGTATATGTATGCTTTTGTTAATTGTACTTCATAATTACTGGAGTTCATTCCACATTTCAAATGTCTCTTTTATGATACATTTTGAAAACTTTTATTGTAAGTAAGAAAGAAGGATGATTTTTTTAAAATACTTGCATCTGTAGTTGAAGAAAAATATCTCTGAAAATTAAAAGAAAGGAAGAAATGAGATAATCCTATTAAGGATCAGTGTGTCAAATCAGACAACATGTTGTTGTTGTTATGTGCCGTCTAGTTGGCCCCGACTCATAGCAACCCCTCCTTGGGTTTCCGAGGCAGTATCACTACGGAAGTAGATTGCCCAACCTTCCTTCCGAGGAGTGGCTGGTGGGTTTGAACCGCCAGCCTTCTGGTTTTGTCTCAAAACTTATCCAGTTCTAAATTTAATGAAAACTGAAGAATGTAGACAATAGCAAAGCATAGGCCCAGTGTTCTTCCCTTTGAGAGGTCCGAGATTGTCAGTGCAGTTCCAGAAAAGTCCTTTTCCTCCCCCATAGGATGTGTTCCGGTTTGGATTTAACATTCAGGATTTTAAACAATGTATGCATAATGTTGCTTGCACAGAAGAAAGTATTTTGGTTATAAAATGTTTCCAACTTGTACCCCATTAATTATACAGTTTGCAGGACATTCTCCAGACATACATGCCCCTATAATTCAATCAATTTCGGGTTTATTTACAATAAGCCACTCAGACAAAGTACACCCCATTTACACTGCCAATCTAAGATTGGAAAATGGTCAGATTGTCAAATTAGGCTTATGGAAATTATAGATTTTATCAGCATCAAATTTACCTAAGATTATTCAAAACACATTGTTGTTATGTGCCGTCGAGTCAGCCCCGACTCATAGTGACCCCTTCTTGGGTTTCCGAGGCAGTATCACTACGGAAGTAGAATTGCCCAACCTTCCTTCCGAGGAGTGGCTGGTGGGTTTGAACCGCCAGCCGTCTGGTTAGCAGGCAAGTGTCTTAGCCACTATGCTACCAGAGCTCAAAACACATAGTTGATCATAAAATATAGACCAAGCATTTTTTTCCCTTGGAGAAATTCAGATCATCAACACAGCTCCTTAAATACCTTTCTCTTCCACTTTAGAATGGATCCTATTTCAGATTTAACATGTAAAGTTTTGAGCAATGCATGCAGAGAAATTATGGTTTGGGACATCCTTAAAGTCTATAGCCCATTAATTACTTGATTTATATATATTATATATAATATATATATATATATAATATTCTCTAACTTAATCCTCCCCCCCACCTACATTTATTAATTCCAAGTTTACTTAAAATAAGCAATCCAGATAGCCTAGATGCTTCCTACTAAAAGTATTTCAGAAATGAAGATTCTCCATTACCTTTCTCCTAATAAAAATCATTATATTTAGCAGAAGGTCAATCATTAGTATGTTTACAGGGAGATTTGGCTGGGTCATTTCTTTTTTGCATAGTTTCTCCTATAAAGAGAAATAACAGTTTAAAGGCCTACAACTAAATTTTCCTTCTAAGGAAATAGTATAAAACACATTAACATGGAATGATATTGTAAACATTTAATTTTTAATCATAGATATACCAAGATAATAATGAATAAAGAGCAGCAAAGGAAGCTTCACACCATTCAAACTGATATAAATTCTTCTGCATCTTAACCAGTTAATCTGTGAGGTTTCTTTTTGTTTGTTTGTTTTGTTTTTGTTTTAAAGAAAATCTATAAGGATTATGTAAGTAGAAGGAGAAAGCTTGTACAAGAGTTAGTGTGTTTGATTCCTGTTAATTGGATAAATAGGAAAGTTAGCTTTCCTCTTTTATTACTTCACTACGCTTGATGAGTAACTGCTATATCCTACAATACAGATTGAGTTTAGAAAACCTGTTTTATCATTTGGCAGTAAACTGATTCTGTCACTAACCCTGAACTAATACACGAAATAGTAAGTCTGTTATGGAAATAATAGTTGGGTTCTGACAAGATTTGCCCCAACAATTAATTAATTATTTTTTTCATATTATTTTTTATTTTGTTTTGTTTTGTTTTTACAATGCTGTTAGTGCTGATTCTTGGAATAACCCAGTGATGATGACTCTCACCAAAAGCAGATCCTTCTCATCTTCCTATGCTGTTTCTGCAGCTAATCATGTAAAGGCTAAAAAGCAAAATCGATCAGGTAAGCAACTCATTGAGAGAAGAGCTCTTACTCACTGAGTGCGCAGTCATGAAAAGAACAAAGTCAAAATGCTGAAATAAATACGTATTCTTTCCAGGCAGCTGTACCAGATTTCCTATCTTGAACTCATTGGATGAATGAGAAATCAGTGTCACCATTGAGAATAATCTCCAGAAGCACCATTTTTTAATATAAAAACTAATAATATGCTTATAATTTTTCAATTTTAATTATAAAGTCTATTAAAATTATTATTCAAGAATATGGTATTTATATGAATGCAAGGAAATACTTCACTTACAATACATACAATTTTTTTCAAGGAAATCCTTTCTTTATATCCCCACTCCCCCAATATATATATATATATATATATATATATATATATATATATGCTGAAAGGAACTGGAATTTAAAGTTGAAAAGAATGTGGCTTAAAGTCATTGAGACCTTTTTGGAAAAGCCCACAGATCAGTAACTAAAAGATCCCAATAATGTTGCAAATAAGTTTTCCTTCCCTTGGAGATAGGTGCAAGTACTAAAATTTTGATGTGAGTTTTCCCATCCAGTATCTGAACTGCTTAGAAATTTCCGTATTGGGGATGGTACACTGTTTCACACCTCTAAGCAGAAGCATCTCCCTTACTGCAAGGTTCATTTACTCAACAAGTATTTATGGAATGTTTATTACTTTAGACATTGACCGAGTTTCAGGGTTGTAGCAGTGATTAAGACAGATCCAGTTTTTTTCAAAATTTGCAATCCAATTGACACTATAGTACGTTGAGTACTATGATAAAGAGGTGGGAGAAAACTTTCAAATGATTAAAGAGAAGGAAAAAGAAAAACAAAAGGAGAGAGTGAAAGAAGCCCTGAACATGGAGAAAATTCCAAGAACTTAAGATTCCAAATGGCTGAAAAAGCTAGCAATGGGAAGAGTACTGGGAAATTAAATCAGATATGTAGATGGAAGCCAAATGGTTCAGGACTTGGTTAGCAATGATAAAGAGTTTAGATAACAATTTAGAACAATGAAGTTTCAGAGGGAAAGTGAAATGATTTGGGGAAAGATTACCTCATTCAATCCGAGTTTGTGGTGACTCAAGACTAGACTCCATCTTTTTTAAAGATTCTGTCCATCTCTGGATTGCCCCCCTTCCTAGATTCCTAATGGAGGTCCTGGGGTTTACTGTAAATTCTCATTCTTGGAATTTTCCAAACTCTAAGTATTTTTTGTTGCTGTATTTTCTCAGCACTTCAGAAAACTGTCTTGAGATTTTCAGTGGACTCCTGCTTAGCTTCTTAATCTTCTTCCTTTAGTAATTTAAGAATTTAAGAACAGCCCCAAACTCCATTTTTTACTATGTCATCTGCCTCATGGCAGCTCTACTGGCTTATCTATTGCTGAACTGCATCACTCTGCTTGTATTCTCAACCTCTTGTTCATGCCAACAATCAGTACATAATGCTCTTAAAAGAAAAGACTTGGTTGCAGGATTCTGGCTTATCTTTCTCAGATTTTCTTCTTTCTGGGAACCTGTAATTAGCCTCTTTATTTCAGTTAGTTCTTTTGTGATGTGCCCATTTCATTTCTTATTCTTGTTATTTGCATCTTCTCCATCTTTTCATTTGTTAGATTTTCCAGTTATTTATGGATTTAATTTATCTTTTCAAAGAACCAACTTCTAGTCTTGTTGATTCTTTCTATTGTTTTTCTGTTTTCTATTTCATTTATTTCTACTTGAATCTTTATTTTTTTTCTTTTCTTATGGTGACTATAAGTTTATTTTGCTGCTCGTTATCTAATTATTGCAGATACTAGGTGAAGGAGTTGATGTTGCTTCTTTCTTCTTTTTTGATGTGTAAGTTTGTAGCTATAAATTGCCCTCTCAGCCCTGCTTTTGCTGTGTCACAAACATTTTGGTATGTTATGTTTCCATTCTCTTTTAATTCAAGGAATTTTTCAATTTACTTGTTTTTTATTTCTTCTCTTATTCAGTCATTGTTAGGTAGCCTGTTATTCAATTTTTCATGTATTTGATTTTTACCCCCTTAATATTACAACATTGTGATCTGAGAAGATGGTTTGCAGTATTTCAGTGTTTTCAAATTTATTGAGGCTTGCTTTGTGGCCTAACATATAGTCTATTCTGGAGAATTTTTTGTGTGTGCTGGAAAAGAACGTATACTGTGCTGTTGTTAGTGTTCTATATATGTCTATGAGATCAAGTTGGTCAATTGTGTTTTTTAGTTCTTCCGTGTCTTCGTTGAGTCTTTCTAGTTGTTGTATCCTTCATCAATAGTAGTGTATTAAAGTTTCCTACTGTAATTGTGGAATTGTCTGTTTCTCTTTTCAATTCTGTTGAAGTTTGACTTGCATATTTTGGGGCTCTTTCACTGGGGGCTTAGATATTTATTACGGTTATGTCTTCTTGTTTGATTGAAACTTTAATCATTATGTAATGCCCTTCCTTGTCTCTTATGCTGGTGTTTGCCTTAAAGTCTATTTTGTCAGAAAATAATATTTCAACTTCTGCTCTTTTTTGATTCCCATTTGCTTGATACTCTTTTTTCCAACCTTTGATTTTCATTGATTTTTTCTTTGTGTCTAAAATGTGTCTCTTGTAGACAGCATATTGATGGGTTATGTTTTCTTATCCATTCTACTACTGTCTGTGTTTTGACTGGAGCAATTAATCTATTTATATTCACTGTAATTATTGACAGGTATGAATTTATTAATGTCATTCTGCTGTGTGTTTTTTTGTGGTGCTGCTGCTTTTTTTCCCATATGATTTTCTGTGCTGATTTCATTCTGTTTATGGATGTTCTTATCATTTCCTTCATGGCTATTGTGTCAGAGTTTGCTAGATATTTGTGACTTTCCTCTTTTTTATTTGACTGAGGCTTATTAATTTTCTTTGAGATTACCCTGTAATATATTATGCTCTTTCCAAGTTTAAAATAGTCTTTTCTACCTTGAAATCACCTTGACTTCCTCTTCATTTGGAAATTCTGTAACTACACTATTTATTTCTCCTTTTTTACTTTGTAGTTTTCCTTATTTACAAATTGATGTCTCTGGTTCCCAATTTTCAGTTTTATAGGCTTATTTTACTTTGGATATGTCTATATCTGGGTTGGTTTCTGAGTGATGTTGTCACATATGCTAATCTCAGGTTGTTGTTTGCTGTTGTTGGTTCTTTATCTGAAGGACTCCCTTTAGCATCTTTTGTAAGGCTGGTCTGGTTTTTCCAAATTCCCTTACTTTCTGTTTATCTGGAAATGCTCTAATTTTGCCATCACATTTGAGGGACAATTTTGCCAGATATACAATTCATATGTGGCATTTTTTTTCTTTCATTCTGCCAAGAAATCAGAGTTTAGTCATATTAGTTGCCTTTCCGGGTAATTTTTCATTTTTCCTAAGATGCTTTCAGGATTTTCTTTGTCTTGCTGTTGGAAGTTTTGATTATAATATGTCTTAGTGATTTTCTTTCGGGTTCTATCCTATTTAGTGTTCATTAAGCTTCTTAAATGTGTCTCATCTTCCATTGTATTAAGGAAGGTTTCTTCCAACAAATCTTTAACACTTTTCTGTTTTGTTTTGCTTTGTTTTGTTGTTGTCTCTTTCTGTTATGGAAAATTCTGGTCACACATAAGGTATTGTGTCTTGATGGTGCCCAACATAAATCTTAGACTTTCTTCATTTTTTTGTTACTTTTTTTGTTATTATTTTTCTTCTAACAGTAGTTTTGAGAGATGTATCTTCAATAACACTAACTGTTTTCCATTGATTCATTTCTATTCCTTTGCACTTTCAATGTGATATCTATTTCTTAAATCTTAGTATTGTTCTTCTGGATTTCTACGTACTGTTTTAGTATGGTTCCTAATTTTTCATTTATTGAGGTACATTGTTCTTGGTTTCCTGAATTCTTCTAGTTCTATCTGTGTTTTCCTTGATTCTATCAGTGTTTTCCTTGATTTTTCTCTTGATCTGTTGAAGGTACTTAAATATAATTATTTCAAATTCCTTAACAGATAGTTTCAATGCATTTCTTCCTCTGAGGGGTTTTCTGGCTCTGTGTTTTGGTCATATTTCTAGCATTCTGTCTTGCTTCTTTGTGTGAACTGAATTTGTATCTGTATTTAATTGTTGATTATATGTTGGTGTGTCTTGCCTAGGTTTTTTTGTTTTGTTTTGTTTTGTTTTGTTTTTTCCCCATATATACCCAAGTGGGTGGGACTGGTGTGCTACTCAGTTTGCTAGTTTGGCAGCACTTAGGCACTCACTACCTGTCTCTGGTGGGTGTGATAGAAGATGAGAGTGTGTGTACAGTTCTCTGTTCAAGTAGAACAGTTGTGGACAATATGAGCTGATATTAGCCATCTATCATTGATTAGTTAGTGCAGAAGCAGGTAGGGGCCCTCATCCAGTGGGTGGGGTTGCAGGAGGTGCATTGGTGGTTGGACAGTGTGGGCACAGTTGCCAGCTCATGCTGGGTGGGGCAAAAATAATAATAAGAGGGACATTAAATACAAGAAAAAAAGGAAAACTCTAAATAAAAGAAAATGAAAATGGCAAAAAAAAAAAAAAAAAAAAAAACAAACTCACTGCCATCAAGAAAAAAAAATTAAAAGAAGAATAAAAATAAAGTAAAAACAAAAAGAAAAATGAAAGAAAACTAGGGAAGAAGATAAAAGAAAGAGAAAGAATAGTAGAGGAAAATAAGAAACATATAAAAATAAAACAAGTAAAAGGAAAAGAGAAAAAGAAGGAAAAAAAATGGAACAAGATAAATAAAAAGTAAAAAAATAAAAAAAGGAGAGGGGACAAAAGGAGCGACAGGACACCCAGCAGTGCTCCTACCATCTAAGCAGTTGGCTGGGAGGCAGGGGGAAGTGGAGGTGACAGCTTTGGTTCCAGAAGGAGTTCCTCCTAATAGAGGAGTTGAGGACAGGGCACCTGGCCCCAGAATGTGCTCCTGCCAGCCCAA